TATATATATATATTAGTGTATACTTGGAGAAATAATAAATATTATATTACTGATGTCAGACGCGATGTTATCGTAACAACAACTCCCAGAACTCTCTAACACTTATTTTTTCCTCTAGCCTGCCTTGCCGAACACTGCTCGATGTGCTATATGTGGAGAAGGGGAATCAGATGAATCAAATCCGAGCACTCACTCACTCATGGAGTGCTCTGTCTGCTCACAGATTGCCCATCGTCAGTGCATTAAGGTAATTTGCTTGAGACGCAGTGAAGGCTATAAATGCATGCATTACCCAAATATTGCATGGTTTGTTTTGCTGTGTACAAAGATGCACTTTGTTGGGTCAGAGATGGCATTTGCTGTTTCAGACTTTTAACTGATCTTTGTTTCAGGAACCCGGTGAGGGGAAGATCAATAAGGATTTGCCCAGCTGCTGGGAATGTCCCAAATGCTACCAAGGCAAAAGCTCAGCATCAGAGGTACCTCATACATATTTCACTCTCATTTGCTCTCTGTGTTTTCAGTTCATTCAATGTTTAGACAATTTTCCCCAACTTTTTCCAGCAACGTTTCCTTTTTCAGTAACTTCCACCAGTTGACGGTTGATCTTGATACTCAAATTAATGATGACACTCTTTGTGTCCCACACCAGTCTTCCAGTGATGAAGAAAGTGAAGAGTCAGAGGGCTCAACCTCCTTGCCACCGTCCAAACTTGCGTACCGGGAAGGCATCGGTGTAGGTGAAGGGGCGAAAAGGGGGAGACGTAGCAGACCCCCGTCCAGACCCACAGCACCACCACCTTCTCAGAAACTGCTACTGCAGCATCAGCAAAACCGCAAGAGAGCAAGTGCACTGGAGCACAGACTTAAAAAGAGGGTAAATGGGATATAATTGGATTTTAGAATTAATGATGATTTTAATGATCAAAAGCTAGTGACAAAGTAGTTTTTTCTCTTTTGCCACTGATTTTGATCTATTTAAGTCATTGAAGATCTTAAGAAATTTAAGCATTACCTAGATGAAACCTGCAGTCACCCTGAAACTGGTGTCACAGATGCCACAGATATGTTTGTTGGCACCTCATCAGACTTAAAATAGTAGATAAAAAATATGTGAGTGTGTTTTTTTTGTTTTCTCTATTTGACCTTTATCTCATTCCCAAATCCCTTTTCTGGTTGTTGCAGATAAAACTGGAGCGCAGCAAAATCCTAACGGTAACCATTTCACTTATTTTGGCAATGATTGTGTATTGCATTTCAATAATAATACAATGGATGTGCAAGTGTAGTATTATTCTAGGAGGTAGTTTCATTCAAATAATCAAATCTTAGTTTAAGATGCATTTCAGCCATGATTCTATTTTTATAAAATCCAGTTATTAAACATTAGTGTAGTTGAGGCAGTTGGGAAATGATGATTTTTGAAAAACCTTGTTGAGTGCCATATTTGAAGCTATTGTTAATAACAAACAATGCTGCTGAGAGCATGTTGTAACACTGGATTATTATGGTTTGCTCTCATTTGCCATCCTTTTTGCCCTTTACCTCCCAACAGAAACAATCTCTAGATCGTTCTCCCAGGCTGCTGAGCTCCAGGGTGCTGTCCCGGCTGCGCTCTCCCACCAGCAGATTATCTCAGGGCAGAGGCCGAAGCTCCACCTGGGCGAGTGGCTCCTCTTACCACAGCGCTCCAGGAGGGACGGGGTCCTTCCAGCAACAGCAGTCTTCCCTCGGTCTGGTACTTGAGTCCAAGGGAGAGCCCCGCAGAGGGAGGGGGAGAGGGGTGAGGCTGCGGGGAGGAGGAGCAGGAAGAGGAATCAGAAGTGGTAGAAGCCATGGAGAGTTGGAGGAGGAGGACGACGAGGAGGAGGAGGAGGACGAGGAGAGCGAGGACAGCAGCAGCAGCAGCAGCACAAACAGCAGCAGCAGCGACGAGGAAGAGGAGAGAGGGCAGAACAGTGGGAGGGGATTGGATAAAGAGAACCAGCCGCAGTCGAGACGAGGAGGACGCGCAGCCAAAGAAAGAGAAGAGGAAGGTAGTGAGGTGGCCAACCAAAACGGTGCAGAGGAGGATGACGTGGAGGAAATGGAGCAGGACAGTCAAATGGGGGGTAAAGATGGCTCATATCTTAAAGTGACACTCCAAAAACCAACCAGAGCTAAGCGGGACCCATCAGCAATTGTCCCCAAATTAGAGGCTGTTGCCCCTCCAACCGCCACTTCAGCAATACACAACCAGACCAGAGCCCTCGTCAGACCCCCCATTAGAAATCGCGGACCCTGTCCTGATCAACACTCCAATAGACACACACCACCACACACTCGCAGTGGACACACAGACACTCGTACCTCCCACCCAGAGAGGCCAGAGGCCTCTAAAAGAACAAAGCCGAGCAGGTCGGCTAAACTGAGCAATGGCGCCTCTTGTTCTTCAACCTCTGAGCTTGCTCATCTCCGCATCCCTCTGTCCGCCCTGCAGGAAGGAGGGAGCGAGGCAGACAGGGAGAATGGAGGAAGCGGGCCGGGCTGTGAGAGGGAGGTGTGGGTGTCCGTCTTTCGCTACTTAAGTCGAGCAGATCTCTGCGTCTGCATGGCTGTCTGCAAGAACTGGTACAAATGGTAAGACCTCTTAGCTGATCGATTGTTATTAGGGAACAAAGATCCTATCAAACCTTTAATCTTTCCTCACTCTCACTCACATCAGCTGTAGCTAATTAGTGCATAACGACTTAATAGAAAAGTTAGTGCGTTCTCTGGGTATGGGCTTTCTGCAGCTGTTGTCTGTATTCTGCCAAAAAATGTTTGAGTGGAAAGACACATCTGTCTGTAACACCACAGTACATGAGTGGTCAAACAGAGTGGCGAGTCTTCTCGGAATAATGATTTAGCTGGTCACCTCAATTTAAAAATCTCCCAAATTAAATGTAGGTTTTTATCATATCAATATTTTAATCTGACCAGCTTTACAGTTTTTATGGGGCCTTGTTTGAAGAGATGTTGAATGTGTCAGATACATTTAATCAACATTCATATATTATATTGTCGATACAAACAAGTTTTTCTGCCTCCTGCGTTAACAAAAGCTTTTAGTTGTTATTTTTATCTTTAGTTTGTTGCAAATGTTGAAAGGTAAAACTAATGAGATTCAAGAAGGGATTCAAAATCATTTTGATTTTATAATAAATGTGATAAAAGGCTATCAAACCCCAGTTTTGTATCTTTTTATTGCCAACTGAGCCGCATTTATCCTTGTACAGTAGTGTCAGTGTCATAACACTCACAAATGGATAACTAGATGAATGGATGTGAGTTTTCACGAGTGTGTTCTTGTTCATAGGTGTTTAGACAAGCGGCTTTGGGCACGGATCGACCTTAGCATCAAACGCACTGTTACTCCTCAGGCCCTAACAGGCATCATAAAGAGACAACCGGTCACACTCGACCTCTCTTGGACCAACATCTCTAAAAAGCAGCTGAACTGGCTTGTTGGCCGCCTGCCTGGTACGTAAACACACACACACAGTTTCTTTACGATATGGTCAATGTTATATATGGAAATAAATACAGCAAAAACAAAAGAATCACATAATTAAATACAGTTCCCAGGGTTTTCAAATGAATTCTGAATTAGTTGTGTTTGTGTATTGAACAAAAATCTTGTCTTGATTTTGTAGGGCTGAAGGATCTGATGCTGGCAGGTTGTTCCTGGTCATCTATTTCAGCTCTCTGCTCTTCTAGTTGCCCTCTCCTCCGTTCTCTGGACCTGCGGTATGCAGATGGGGTCAAAGACTCTCAAATCAGGGATCTAGTCACCCCTCCAGGTGAGGAAGGAGCAGCCTGAGAGGATACAGATTGATTACTAGAAGTGGTTAATGAGTTGTTATTTTTTCCAGTAATTAACTCTTATGTCTTGTTATTTTTCCCTACTTTATACCCCTTGCCATTCTTCATCAAACTCTTTTCTGCCCTTTTCCTCTTCCTCCCAAACAAAACCCCCGTGTTCCAGGCTGTGACAATCGCAGTCAGTTGCGGACCATGCAGTGTTTGCGACTAGCAGGCCTGGACATCAGTGACTCCACTCTGCGCCTAGTGATCCGCCACATGCCCCATTTAACAAAACTGGACCTCTCCCACTGCAACAGTCTCACCGACCACTCCATCAACCTGCTGACTGCAGTGGGCTCATCCACCCGAAACACGCTCACAGAACTCAACCTGACAGGTGAGAGATTGATGGGAATACCTTCTGCGTGAGGCACAAAGACCACGCACACACACGTTGCATTAACTTCATTTCACTAGTATTGACGTGTCTGTGTACCTGTTTGTTTCCCAGGCTGCAGTAAACTGACAGACGCGTGTCTAAAGTATCTCCGGCGCCTCTCTTGCATCTCACTGCTCGACCTGCGAAGCTGCAAAGGTGTCACCCGCAAGGGCTGCGAGGACTTCATTTCTGAGCTGTCCGTCAACACGCTCTACTGCCTATCAGATGAAAAACTGATCCAGAGGATATCCTAAGCACCCGCCTCCTCTGACTGCACAGGGGATTTGAGGTGCGAAGGCAAGAGAACAGATCCTGATGTGAATCTGTGTGACACAAGGGACACAGACAGGCAGGGAAGTTCACGTGCACCTGTATCACGTAAAAAAGGAGGGGTGGGGTCTAAACTGGGAGTGCTTTACTCACTTAAATGGTGTTGGTGAAAGGGGTTGTCACAGCTGGAACAATTTTTGTTTTCAACGTTATATACATTTTATTTCCAGTGTACCTAAAGAGAGACTCAGGAGCTTTTTTTTTTCTGTTGTTCTTTTGGGAATTAATGTTGTGTGGAAAAAGCAAAATGACTTTTTTTTTTTGAATTGCCAGGAGTGGGAGGATATGGGCAATTTATTAGCTGTATTAAACTACACATCCTTTGGATAAGCAAGTGCTCAGCCCTTCTTTGGACGGACGCCAGGCTTGACTCCCATCCTGCCGAGAGAGAGAGAGAGAGAGAGAGAGAGAGAGATAAGCAAAGACTTGTGAGTTTCATCCTTGGGGTATAACTGCATTGTTCTGTTTGGCTGATCCCCATTAAGTCTTATTTATCATCCGACTAATTTTAACTCATTTTTCAGCTCAGTTTGGCTGCTGCAAATAGATGGCTATTTTTTGTCAGATTCAAGAGAGCAAACGTTGTTTGATGACTTACGCTTTATGCACATCTATGCTTTGAGATTTTTTTTTTTTTTTTTTTTAAGACTACTAAAGGTGACGTATCTTTCACATTATGACTTATAAAGTGAGTGACTGGAATGGCCTGTGTTTACCAGACGTATGTTCAGCTCAATAAGGCACTTGGGGGCAACAGTAATCCAGTGGTGTACTTGATGGGTATACATGGACAGTGAGTGAGTGAGTGGGTGTAGGTGTGGAGGTATAAAAGGGTAAAAAAAAGACAGTGTGAGAAGGCAATCGACATGGCAACAAGACCTCACCCCAACAGTGGGCAGGTTGCATTAAGTGTACGGGGTCAGCCAAGGGTTAGGTGTCAGATAAATGGTGCATCTAAAAACAACTGTTAGACTTCAGGTGCTATTATTTCCAAACTCCTTTTATTTTGTTTTTGTACAGAGACATTTAGAGCAAAAATGTTAATATTCTAGATGAAACTTCTCCCTGCCCCCTCTTTGATAAACAGAATTTCATGACCTTGTCCAATTCAATGTAGAGAAATATGATTTTGTTTGGGAGGGGTTGCTCCTTTCTTTGTTCCCCTTAAAAGTGTAGTGGTTCTGTGTCACAGGTCTCCTCCCAGACCGCTCTCCTGGCCATAACCCTTCAAATGAATATAAGTATATATATATATATATATATATATACTTTTGTGTAAATGTGTTTTCCTCTTTTCGAGTATCAAAATGGGAATCCTGTAGCATTGTAATTATTTTCAGAAGCCTTTTTCACTTTATGTTATTTGTGTTATTTTTCAAGAAAAATAAAAAAATATCAACAATAGGTAACCCTCACATTCTTTCTTAAGGTGAAGTAAATGTTACACTAGTTTGCTGTGAGTAGCATTGTTTATTTATTATTATAATTAGAACTGTAAGCTGTATTTAAACAGGGAGGTATATTGAAAGCTCTCTTTTACAAGGATTTGCACAGTAGGATCAGATATCAGCTCTCCCCTGGCTCCACCCAGCTTCTCTCATAACCTGGAAATAAAGCGACGCCTAAATAAATAAATAAATAAATAAACAAACAAACAAACACCGCTGCTGCAGCTGTTAATGTAGTGACTTCATCTTCAGCAAAGACGCGTTTAGGTGTATCGATGGTGGTCCAGTTTAATGCTCGTTAGCCCGACAGGACTGAGTGTTAATCGGCAGCAGCTGCCACCAAACATCGTGTGAGATCGCCCCAACTCGACTGACCTGGATGTGAAACTGGAATAAAGGCCGACTCTCTTTATTTTGACAGACAAACACAACCCTGCGATATAAACAGCGGGTGGTTGCAGCAGCAGCAGCAGCGGGGGTAGCTAACGATAGCTAACTTTATCAGCCGGCGATATTTTATATTTATTATTTGTCCTCAGGAGCACATCCATCATGAAACAATGAACGGACTTAGGAGGGGCTTTTACCGCCGGCTAAATGAGTTGTCTTTGCATTGTGAGTAATGGAGTCAAGGTGCCAAGAGGAGCAGGAAACAATGTTGTTATTAGCCAGTTAGCTGACGTTAGCTCAGCTAGCTGTTAGTTAACTACATCAAATTAGTGGGCTGAGTTAGCCGAGCTAACTCAGCCCACTAATTTAAATAGGCACGCATACGATTAAAGCCTGTCTGCTGCCTAACTTCAGGTTTGTCACTCGGGTAGATTTTGCTCAGTGACAGGGTTTCTTCCCCTCCTTTTCCAGTGAGACTCTTCTTTCTTTCAGCGTTAACCATTTTTCTGCTGTTAACTGAGCTAACTAGCTGACGTTAGGAGCTGGTTGCTACAGTCCGCTGTGGTGTCACTGCAATCTGTTGGCTGCACAGCTCATATCGCAAACATAGCTTTACTACTATATAAGTGTCGAGCGGACGACAACCATGGCCCAAGAAGCGTTTCCTCTGCATTTCCTGGTCTGGAACAATCAGTATCTGGAGCTCGATCGAGAGCTGCAGAAGAATGAGGTGAGGAATGAGGTTTATTTAGCAGCTGGTGGATGGGTTTATTTATTTTTTATTACCAGATGCGTTGGTTAGCTCGCACTGCATTGCGCTGATGCTGCTTGTGCTGTGTTTTTGGTTCTGCAGCAGGATGTGGAGCGCGTAGATCCGAGGGGGCGCACCCCGCTGGAGCTGGCTGTGTGTCTGGGCCACCTGGAGTCAACCAGGGTGCTGCTCAGACACTCCTCAAACCCCACACACTGCAACACACAGGGCTGGACCAGTGAGTGCTCCGCTGTCGCTCCCAGTAAATCATAAAAAGGCACAAGAAGCAACCCACTGTCGTTAAATGTGAGTTTGTGTTTCAGTCTTGCAGGAGGCGGTGAGCACCGGGGACCCTGAGTTGGTTCAGCTGGTGCTTCAGTACAGAGACTTCAAGCGTGCCACTGAGAGACTGGCGGGCATCCCAGAGCTGCTCAGCAAACTAAGACAGGTAAAACTGCTTCACAGCCTATTGTTGTCTTTTTTGTTTGGGGGGGGGAGAAAAAACTTTAAGCCTCCAGGTATTAAACTCTACCTGTTGCCCGGAGCACCACACCCTGATCCTCAACCACACCTCAGAGCTTCTGCAAATATTTATGGAAAGAGTTTTAGACCGCTGTGTCAATGCATCTTTTTCATTACGGTACAATATGGTCCAAGCATGTTGCACGAGTATCCATCTGGATTCAATCAGGAGGCAGAAGGAGGGTGTAGATATTTTGTTTTTGTCCAAGTTAAAAAACTTTCCTTGGTCCCTTCCAGGCGCGGGACTTCTATGTGGAGATGAAGTGGGAGTTCACTAGTTGGGGTGAGTGTGTTTTCACAGAGGTCAGTTTCAGCACCACAGTAGTTGGACAGCTCCTCCCTGGCAGCAGCTGTCGCTCAGAAGACTTTAAAAGACAGGGCAGGTTAATTTAAACAAGTTTGATGTAAACCACCACAAATGGCCAATGGCGTGCAATATTAACAGGACTACTCTGTGATATAATGTGGTTTCCTGTGTTTGGGTTGTTTTGCCTTCTCTAATCTACAGAAGAGGCTCATAAAAACAGTTAATTACGTTGTGCAGCTTGAAATGTTATCATCTACCAGCATTTACAGTAACATCCCAATACATGACAGCCTCTTAATGTGTATTCTTTACAAAAACTAATAAATTAGAGCAGAACATTTTTAAAGGTCAGCCACTGCTACAAGACTGTAATGTCTACAATGTCACTATATACAAGCCCAGAGAGTTTATTAATAAAGCCGTATAGTACTGGAATTTAATCATTTCTCAAGTCATTTGTCGTTTGACCTTTTTCTGTCAAGTTTATGGCTGATGAATTAATCTATAATGAATATAAACATTGCGTGCAGCGCTATGTAACAAGCTAGATTTAGAAATTTCCCACAAAAACATTTAATCTTCCCATTTAAATCTTTTTTTTCTTTTCTCTGTCCTTCACTCCTTCCCCGTTTGGCTTCCTCATTCTCGTTCCCTCTTTGTGTTTTACTTCTAAAATGCCTCTTCAATCTTCCTCTCAGTGCCCTTGGTGTCGAAGGTGTGTCCCAGTGACGTCTACCGGGTGTGGAAGAGCGGCTCGTGCCTCCGTGTGGACACCACCCTCCTGGGCTTCGAACACATGACCTGGCTGAAAGGACGGCGCAGCTACATTTTCAAGGGCGGAGGTGTGTGTGTGTGCTCACATACTTTACATACACTCTCTAATAGGGACATTCCTGCGCCTCCTGTGGTTGGACCTTTTTTTAGTTTAGGTTGGTATGTCCTCCACCTTTCACTGGTGTACTCCTCTTCCTCAGATGACGGGGCCGTGGTGATGGAGGTGGACCATGAGAAGCAGGTGGTGTACACAGAGCCACTCGTGTTGTCTCCCCGCGACGCGCCCTCCCTCCTGGCAGCCATGCAGCCGTCACAGGAGAACACAGCCCAGAGACTCACGTCGCCCATCGTCTCCACGCACCTCAACACACGCAACATTGCCTTTGAACGGTAACAAGCACCTGCTGCATACAGATACATACAAACTAGAATCATTTAATCGAGATCACGCTTGATTTGTTTGTGTGTTTGTGAGTCATGTGTAGATGTTGCCTTCACCCTGCTTTATGGAGCGGCCTTTACTTGATCTCTTTGCTTGGTTAGGAACAAGTCGGGAATCTGGGGCTGGCGTTCCGAGAAGAGTGAGGTGGTCAGCGGCTACGAGGCCAAGGTATGTGACCGCTGAGCCAACCCAGTTCAACTGGTTCTTCAGAAGCTGAAACGTAGTTCAGACCATTTGGAAGTTCGTTCAATATTCTGTGATCTAATTATCTGCTAACAAGAGTTATCAAACAAACATGATTTAAAAGTTTTAAATCATTTTTTACACAAACAAAAATGTGTCTGTTGGGTGTTTTTGAACATAATTATTTACTTTATCCAGAATTGTCCTTTTTGATTTTGAATTTTGATTATTTTAATTTAAAGTTTGAGACGTTACAGACAAAACACAGTCACAGTATCCTGTTTGCTCTGTCGACGATACACTTTTAATCCTTACACTGAACCACAGTTTAACCTTCTTCTGTTTACACCAAATAAATGTTTTTGTAACCCAAACAAATGTGTTAACAGGAGCTTTACTCAAACAAAGTTTTTAAAAAAAAAGAAAAATGTGTGTTCAAGGGTGTCTTTCCTTTTGTGTTTTGTTGTGTTCAGGTTTACAGTGCCACCAATGTGGAGCTGGTGACTCGGTCGAGGACAGAGCATCTATCAGACCAGGATAAGTCGAGGAGCAAAGGTGAATGTACGCGCACATGCACGCACACGCACACGCACACACGCGCACACACACACACACACATATTGTGGAAAATGAGATAGAAGCTAAATACAATCGATCACTACGTAGTTCTTTTTGAATCACAGTAAGTTATGTTCCCCTCTGTGTATTATTATGTTATTTTTGCTCCAGATGTATCTCCTGCCTTACTTCCGGAGCAAAAAATAGAATAAATTTGCGGGGCAGACGAATGCTGACGATGATGAGCTCTCTATATTATTCCCACTCAGGCTCAAAGACTCCTCTGCAGTCGTTCCTGGGGATTGCTGAACAACACACAGCTCACAATGGGGTAAGAGTCTCCACAGTATCACATCCACCCACACCACCTACAGCTTTCTTTGATGAACACTGTCACTTATAACTCTCTGTATTTCTATCAGAGTAATGTGTCCCAGTGCGCCAGTCCTCACAACCCCACAGCCATCACAGCTGAGGAGTACTTCAACCCAGAGTTCAACCTGAACGGCCGGGACATTGGGCGCCCCATCGAGCTCACCAGCAAAGTCCAGAAGTATGGCATCAATCAAAAGTTCCCCACTTTATAGACCAATTCGTTCAAAACTAGGGTTCTACATCTTTTTTTTGTCTTGTCTTTCTTGCGTCCTCTCCAGGTTTAAAGCGACACTGTGGTTGAGTGAGAGTCACCCGTTGTCCCTGGCTGAACAGGTGACACCCATTATCGACCTCATGGCCATCTCCAACGCCCACTTTGCCAAGCTGCGTGACTTCATCACCCTGCGCCTGCCGCCTGGCTTCCCTGTCAAGATAGGTAGCTAGATGGATGTCTTCATTCATGCCTTCATGATTCTTGCAATATGTTCTCATATTCCCACTGGAGCTACAGGAATGATCAGCCATGTGTGGCTTTCAAACACTCACTGTCTTGTCTTTCAGAGATTCCCCTGTTTCACGTGTTGAACGCCAGAGTGACGTTCAGTAACCTGTGTGGCTGCGACGAGCCGGTCAGCTCTGTGACGGTTCACAAACCAGAGAGCTCCGAGGAAGCTGGTAACTACTGACTCACTCATTCACAGTAGCTATGAACTCTATTAAAGGAGAAAAAAACCTGATACATTTCAGTGACAGAGAATTCAAATATCAGCTGCTTCTGAAACTCAGGTTTTTATAGTAGAGCAAGAGTGAGTAAGTTATCTATCCCAGTGCAGAATATTGGAATTATAATATGGTTTTATAATTAGTTGTTTTGGTTTGAGAGTGAAGGGATGTTGTAACTTTCTGAAAATATAAGGCAGGTATAGTTGTTTCCAAAACACAGGATTACATTTTTTTCACGTTATACCCTTTACTTGTAGGTCAGTCTTTCAGTCCCTTCAACTGTGAGGTGGACCCCTCAGTGTTTGAACCCCCGGCAGACTACACCACCCTCGGTCCAGGCCGCAGCGAGCCAATGAGGGACGAGGATGACAACCTGCTGCAGTTTGCCATCCAGCAGAGCCTGCTGGACGCCGGCACAGAGAGTGACCAGGTCAGAGCTACGTGTCCTCTTCTGCATTGTATTTCCTCTTAAGTTTAGTGGTTACTTGCATTCTGACTAAACTAGTAAAACAGATGAATTTCACTCTTTCTTTTGGACACATTGCAGTGGCCCAGGTGACATGTCAGAACAAAATATCAAAATATGTCTGTGTGACTTTACCTGGACAGTTTGTCCCTGACAGAAAATGCTATAATTGGTTCTTGCTTTTCTTCTTTATCCCTGAACATTTTTAGAATTTGTGCCACAATTCCTCTTTTCAAAACTAACTGAAGCTGGTTTTGTTCTCGTGCATCTAAAGCCAGTTGTAACACTTAGGTGTGGTTTTTAGGTGACTATCTGGGAGGCCCTGACCAACAGCCGCCCGGTGCCCCCGAGTCCACTGTACGAGGAGGACTCTCAGCTGGAGAGGTGAGCTGGCCCTTCAGACTTTACCTCTCCTGTTTCTGATTATTTTAAGTCTCTACATTTTGTACTTTATGAACAAAACAAAAATAAATGTAGCAGCGCTTGAGGCTGCCATCCAGTGAGCTTAGCTTATCTTTGCATGGCCTTTAGCAGAAAAAAAGGTGTCTTTCAGGGTTAATTCTAAATCAGATCATTTGTATTGTTACTGTTAAACATGAGGTTTAACTAATTATGCCTGTTCATAATTCTTTCTTATTAAGGGAAACCTTGGCTTCTGAAGTAATTTAATTAAACATCTCTAAATAGAGTTCAGTGATTAGCTTTTCCTCTCCGCCTTCTCATGGGAACAGCAACTCCCAGTCATCCTGTAATGAAGCCCAGCAGTGAAACTCACCCGTTAAGATACTGTTCTTTGTTTCATAATATTTAAATGTAAGTCTTAACAAGCTTATTTTGTTATTTTCCCAGGGCAATCCAGGAGTCCCTGTCCATCTCGCTGGCCAGCAGAGAGGGAGAAGACACGTCCGACCCCAGCCAGCCCTCCTCTGTCTCCCCGCTGGACCCCACCGCCAATTCCCCGCTCTCTTACAGTGCAGTGACCGATCCGCGGCTGTCGGGACACTTTGGTGTGGCGTCGAGTTTCGACGAGCAACTGCGTATCGCCATGGAGCTGTCGTGCCGGGAGCAGGAGGAGATAGACAGGTGAGGCGGGAGGAAAACAAAGAGGAGGCTATCTGACGTACATTAGCTTACCTGAGACAAAACCTGCATGCTCATCAGCACGCTGGTTTGAGTGACCCAGAAAGTGTTTTTTTTTAGTGGACCGCGTCCGTGAGCTTTTACAAAACTTGCCGGCTTCTTCCCAGCTGTTACAGTTCAGTTGAAATGAAAACATGGCAATCAACCAAATTGGAGTCAGAGGAGTCAACAGTTACTTAGTTGTCGTCTGTTCCGTGTTGCTAGTTGTGCTCATTCATACACAATAAAGGTTGTGTAGTTTTGTGGGATTTGCGGTGTGTGGCAGTCCGTCTTGACTGACTAATTATCTGCTACTCGAGGCAAATAGTCACATTCAGTTGTGAAGTTTTGGAAACTTGAAAAATACGTTTGAAGTCCCTTCAACTATCAGAGACAGTTTTGCCCTAGACCAATGTGGAGAACTCTGCCCCAAATCTACTCCCTTTCCTGGAAATAAATACTAACATGAACCAATTTAATCTGTTCTAATGTATCTGTTTATTAAAGCCTATCTTCATTGATCATTCATTGATGCTACCATGCAGCTATCATAGCTAAATACTAACGTCTGACATTAAAGTGCCCTTATTACAGTAATATAAACCATTTCCACAAATGTTACATACTTTGTAGAGCAATTTTCAAAAGATCTAAGAAATAGGAAATAATATCACCAGAAAATTATTAGAAACATGCAGTTGTGGGAAAATAGTATAGAAGTAATAATTTCACATTCACAGGGCTGTCATTGTTCTGATTTGCTTTATTTCTTTTTTTTTTGTCGGTAGGCAGCAGAAGGAGGAAGAGGATGAGCTGGAGAGGATCCTGCAGCTGTCACTCACCGAGAAGTAATGTCACTACAACAATGGAGCAGTGTTCTTCATTGGGGAGCAATCCTCTTAATTTATTCAGTTTTGTTTTTATTTTTTAAATGCTGAAATGTTAAGTTATTAAAGATATTTTATTTGTCTTTCTCACACGAAGGCTGCTACAACAGAGTGTAAATGACCAGAATATAAGAAGTGTGAGTGTAACAGGTGGGAGGGATGAGTAAGAAGAGGTGGAAAGAGGTAGTCTGAAACACTACAGTGAAGGAGGAGACAAAAGGGAGTCTTTGTTTTTTTTTTTTAATTGAATATTTTTCACAGTGTTGCTGTCTTTTATTGAGTGATGAACGATCCTTAAAATTTAAACCTATAACATGATCCATGATAATGATGATAAATATGAAAATACAATCTTAATGGAATAACTTAGAATTATTAAAAACATTTAAAATAAAACTAAAAACATGATTATAACATTTGAAACGTTTATGTTGGCGTACTCCTATGTGTGAAAAATAAAGAATAATGATCATCCTGGATGATAGTTACGTTTTCTATTAAATGCTTTTGAACAAAGGAACAAACATAAGACTGCCATGTATGTATAGATTTGTACTTTGCAGTTTGATCATTCTTTTGTATCAAAAATGGACAAAGATTTTGATTTGTAAAATAATTAGCTTGTGCAGTTTCACTTTTTAAACCACAATTTATGAGCAAAAACCGAAAGCACCTGAGCATCTGAGACAATAAACATCGATTTAACGGTGTTATCTCAAGAAAATGAGCTTTCTTATCTCGAGATGAGATACTTAACCCGTTATCACAAGAAAACAAAAGCTTGTTTCCTTATTGCTTCTAATGTTTATCAGAGATCAATAGTCATGTATTATAGATGTAGCATTGGTTCTACATAATGGACAATGCGTTGAGGGAAGATGAGCAATTTGCCACTAAAATGAGCTAGCAACTATGAAAAATGCATAAAGAGAACCTGGACATTTGCAGGGATCTTTGAGCTCATTTAATAAATCTTTTGTCACTATGACATCACATTATCAGGAAATTACCAGTAATAGCTTAAATGAACTCTTTTCAGTTCAGGTATGAATCCTCTCCCAACAGTCATCAGTGATCGTGAGTCAGATGTGATTAATGAACCAGACACTCATTTACAAGTTCTCTATAATCATCCTGTGATCCTGAGAAAATAAGTCATTACTCATCTGGAGAAATCGGCCTTTGAGATAAATTAACTTGAGATAACGGCTATTTGAAAGCGTCACTTGGGTGGATTTTGGATGATTGTTTTTCAATACCGCCATAGACTCATCGATGAGAAAATACTCATTAGTTCCAGACCAAGTTGAAATTGTATTTAAAACCTGTGTCATAAAGTTGTATCAAAGAGCTCTTCAGCATTTATTTCTTCATTTAGACACAAACTTTTTTTACATTTGTATGATTAAACTTAAGCTTAATGCAGTGATTTGTAAACAACCTCTCATGAAGAAGATAATAATATATCCATAATAATATTCTGTGTTAAAGGGCCAGTTTGGAGGGTTTAGTGGCATCTAGTGGTAAAGTTGCTGATTGCAACCATTTGAAACCCTGTGACTCGACCAAGTGCAAAGGAAGACCTACGGTGTTTGTCCATTCTGGGCTACTGTAGAAACATGGCAGTTCAACATGGCAGACTCCATAGAGGAAGACCCGCTCCCTCTGTAGATAAAAATGGCTCATTCTAAGGTAACGAAAATACAACGATTCTTATATTCGGGTGATTATAAACTAATGAAAACATCATCAGGGTCAAATGTTTATATTGTCCAGAGTGTTGGTCTGACCAAACATAATGCAATGACTTTCCCACCAGCCTCTGCCGATATTGTGTTTAGGGCAAGTTTAAACCCACCGTGACGTCACCGCCGTTTTGAAGCCTCTAGTTTGGCGTCTTGGTTACGGGTACGGGTTTACCTCCACTTCTCTTCCTAATTATGCAGCCTCACAGAGCTGCTAGACTCTTAGTTTTGTTATTTCACATTCAACATGTAGCAAGCTGTACCGAACTGTGCAACTTGTCAACATAAACACAGGCAGTTTCAAGCACATTTTTGATATACATATAAATATTCAGAATTTTGTTTTTCCAGCAAAATAGTTAAAGCCTAATTTTCAGTTTGAGAGTCCTATTTTAAGAAACTGAAAACTTGTCCCATTTAAATTTAACTGGCACACATTTTTAAACTTTGGAGTGCATTTGTGAAAGATTTCCAATAAAGGTGGAGGAATGTTGTCACATCCACAGAGGAGCATGCAATCTCTCAGCTAATGTTTAAGTTGAAAGTTAAACATTAACAGACCCGTGACGTTCTTGTGAAGCCAACAAGAATATGTGCCTCACTCTGCAGTCTTTGTGGCCCACTGTGCTGCGCTTGAGTGGGATTTTTTATTGCTTTGATTCTCATAGGTGGTGGCTTCCTCCTCGTCAGCTGCAGAGTAGATGATTTCCCTCCGTAATTTTAAAACTTCACGAAGCTCTCCGTCGAACTGTCCTAGTTAAGACAAAAACATACAAATGTCACTCTTTTTAGTTCGACTTTAATCGCTCATACGGACCAGTCCAAAGCAGCTCTGATAACACCACATTCATTCTCACCTAGCTTTAGTTGGTGATCATCAGGAGCGTCAGGAACCACATATTCACTCTCCTCTGGCTTGGTTGGAGGGGGCAGGAGCTCGTCTTTGGTTTTTGACCGCAGCATCGGTGCCACTTGTGCCTTGGGTACCATTTTAGGTGTAGGTGAGGTGATGCTGATGCACTTTGGAGCAGGTGATGCGTCTGTTGAACACACACACGAACATTGTTAAAGAGTTGTGTGCTTGCACTTGTCACTGAGACTATTTCTAAAAGCAGTGTTCCTCTCACCGATGCTAGTGTCGTAGGGCTGGGACAACATGTAGGGATGAAGACGGTACTCTGTCTTTTCAATGAAGTATTTAAGTACATCGTTCAAGGAGGACACCGTCACCTACAGAGGTGAGGACGCAGGGAGAAAAGCAAAGAGAAAGACTTGGTTTAATAATGTTTAATGATGATTTAGATGATTTCTATTGGCATATGTTGAGGTTTCTTATAGTGTGCCAATTGAACACTGCACACCCTACTATGTTAGTGATCAAGGTATCCAACCTACAATAAAAATAACTTAAATCTGTATAATTTACTTATTCAGATTTTCTTTCAATGGGACTTACTGCTGTGTCCAGTTCAATGATGAACCCAGTGTTTATGGAGGTCACTCTGTAGTTCTTCATGACAGGCCCACTGAAACACAAGCAAGAGGAGGATTATTTGCTTACTGCTGACTGGACATGGGAACTATGAATAAAAGTTTATATAAAAATACTGGAATGACAAAAACAAATCCACATGTTCATCCCTTTATAAACCAAAGCACCTCATGGTTAGTGATTGTCATGATAATCATTATTTCTTGGTGGACTCACAAGAGCATAATATACAACACAGCACTCATGTGAAAGATAAACTATAAAACCAAAGGTTCATTTTTATGTGATAAATGACTGATATCAAAAGTATCCTGTCAGGCGAAGAAAGAAAATCTGATATTTACTACTACGACGGTTGAGCTGGATTGTCAGACCTGGGCATCAGTTGTCTGAGTGTCAGGGCGTAGTTGTTGGCCAGGGTGGACGGGCGGAGGATCATGCTTCCATACTCAGGATTTGCTTCCAACATCCGCTCGGCCTCCTGCCGATTCACATTGAAGAAACACCTGAAGGGATCAAAGCAAAAAAAATAAAATACTTCCTCATTGCCTGTGAAGGTAATAAAGGTGCAAGTATGCTGTTTCAGAGGGGGGCAGAGTAGGAGGCGCACACAATGTGTTGCTTTAGGATAGCAGGATGGACTTCACTGTTATCAGTGACCCGATAACAACTTAATATTGCTGAATTGGATGTTAGGAAGACAGAAATAGCAGGAAGTGCTTCAGGAAGATTTCTGGAGACAGAAAGTAACTTACGCAGGAACATCAGGGTGGACTTTGGGCGGTGCAGGGGAGGGTGAGGCTGAGGGTGAGGCTGAGGGTGAGGCTAGGAAAGACGGTCGGGGTGGGAGTGGTGGCAGTGGCGCGGGGGGATTTCTTCTCTTCTCCTGAGCCAGAAACTCCTTCAGCTGCAATAGCTGGCCAGGCAGCAGCTGCATCTTATTGGGAATCTCTTTCTACAGGGGAAACAGAGCTCAGTGTCAGCACTTTTTTACTCATTGTTACCAATGCCACCAATTTTACACGTGTGTATGGTCTATGTGACATGTGACATCCAATTTGAGTTTAGGTGTAGCATTTAAAACACTAAATGAAATTGTAACCACACAATGAAAATAAAGGCAACTATTTTCAGTTTGCACATATCCCTGTTTCCTTGTTTGTAACCTTACCGTCTTTACCATTTTCCATATCTGTCTTAAGGGGAGTTTGGCCCAATAGAAACATCACGAGCCAAATCTTTGCTTAATTATTAACCAGGTTTCCCATTGTTTGTTTTATTTGTTCCCTTGCGTGTCAAATAGGGCTTGGGTTTGAGCTCAGACATTAAGGGTCTGTTATTGTTTCTTTTTTTTGCTGAGCAATATTCAGTACGATAATCTGTGCTGAGGGTCTATTGGACCGACTCCAATAACCATCAAAGTGTGTCAGTAAACCTATATATACGTGTGTTTGTGTGTGTGTGTGTTTGCTTTACTAACTTTGATAACAGTCAGGATGTAACCCTTCCACTCCTCTGCTGTGTCAGGATTGTCCAGCTGTACAGTCACACAAACATGTTGGTTATGTGATGATGACAAAAAAAAGAGAAGAGAGAAAAATCTGTCAGGTTTCACCACCACACACCTTTAGCTGCACATCGTCTGTGTGCAGCGTGAGATTGAAGATAGTTGCCGCCTTCCTCTGATTTGGAGAATCTAACTCCATGGACTTCAGCTGCTCCAGGTCCAGCTTCTCTGTATACTGAACAAACAAATAAATAAATTAGTATTATTACTTATTATCAGACAAATTCTTGATCAGTACATCATGTATTCATTTATCCAAAGGTTGACCTTTATGTCTCTTTCACCTGTTTTCTTATAACCTTTCAACAGTGCTGCCTTTGTTTAAAAGACTTTAGATTGTACACACATTCTAAGGGAAACAAATATTAAATTCACTGTTTAAATAATCATGTAAAAGGTTTGCTGTTACTAAGAAAACTTAAGGTGAAGGAGCAAATTAAACTGCTTACCGTATCCTGTGTGTCATCCTCGTACAGAAAGAGTGTGGCTCCCCGCAGCTCTCCGTAGTATTTCTTAAAATCCTGAAAATCATAACTGTCACTTTGAATGTCTGCTCTTGACACAGCTTTCACATTCACATACGTAATGTCATTTAATACAGTCTCAAAGCCTTATACTGAAATGTCAAACAGCATTTATTACACATTTAGTCCCTTCTTTTTATGTTACATAGACACATTTACAGTCTATCTTTTCCGACTTTGTCCTCACCTTCTCTTTGCTGTATTTCTTCAGCAGGTCTCCAGAGTAATAGAGAGGCAGAGCTGTGATAGTCTCCCTCCTCTTGTAGACGACTCTGGGGTGCAAAGACATCTTCCAACACTCGGTCAAATCTGTGTGTTTCTTCTGGCCTGGTTTGGTTCAGCTTTGGTTCACTTCACTTCTGTTTGTCCAGCAGTGAATTCATTGACGTTGAATAAACAGTCCAGCTGGGTCCTGAGAAGGTTTTGTTCCTTGTTGTTTCTTCGCCGGCTCTGAAAGCACTAATAAATTCTCCTCGAGTCTTCCCTGATATGATTATTGATCTATAAACCTGCACTGATAAGATATTCTCCCCCCTTTTCCTTCAGTCGAGTGCTGCTTCGACTCTGAGAATGAGGAAGCGCTGCAGTGATTTATAAAGTAGGAAGTAGTTAGCACAAAATATCCCAAATAAAAGTTCACTTTTGTACTTTGAACCTGGGCACAAAGATTTATATCCCACACACACAAGCAATGAAGCATGCAAACACGTATCCACACACACACACACACA